GTGATGGAGAAAAGTTTTTTAGGAATAAGTTGTTTATTGTCAACTAAGAAGACATCATCCATAAACAAATTTAGTTTAGATGTAATGATTTTCAGGTGATAAAGAGAAAATCCCCAAAATGTCAAAATTGGGTACTTTTGGTGTTAAAATCGATCATAACTCAAGAATGAAAGGTGATGGAGAAAACCTTGTCGTGAAATAACTTTATACCCTATTTGTCAAGTTTGACGTACAATTTCATAGCCGACTACTAAATTTTCTCTTATTTTAAGTAACATTACGAAATACGTGTCTTTAGTTATTTAAGTTTTTTATGAAAACGACAATGTTTTTTAAAAAATAATACGAGTAAGAAAAGTTTTAGAATTAAATTCCACATGAAATGAAGTAGTAATGTATTAAATCCGCCAAAAGGTTAAAAAAATTTGTCAAAATTTAGGGTACCATCACCGTTAATCAACCCTATGAAATGCCTCAATTGAGTTCAATTTGCTACCAATTAATACCCTTGGTACACTCATAACGTATACCAAATTTGGTTTTTCTAGCTTAATGTATTACGAAGATATTGAACTTTTTAAAAATTTAAGAGCCAACTTTGAAGGCCTATAACTCCTCAGGTGTACAACTTAGTATAGAGGTAAGTTACGTTAAATCATCTTAATTTGTCCTCTGTGTCGGTTCTTATGTGAATCACCCTATATATCGCAGTAACTCGATATTTTAGTGATGTGATGCTTCTTATACTTTTGTATAATGATGGCAATATAATATTTCCAAATTTTTTAGGTCTACCCTGACATGGCATTAAATCAAGAATTTTAAACTCTGCATTATCATCCATGGGTGTTTTATATAAAATTTTATATGATTCATTTCTTAAAAATCGCATCCAGCATATTTGCAATTTGACAGACCAGAATTTGAAAGTGGTGAAACGTTGAGATGTGGAATAACATTCGCAAATGCAGCAATATCTAATTGATTGTCTAAATTGTCTGCTTGCGTCTCGTCTCTATCACCGCTTTCATCAATAACTTCATCATTTTGACATCTTTCCAGGTCCACAAAATCTACTTCCTGTTTCTCTAATTCCCAAGTTTATTGAATGGCCAAATTCCTAGTATGTGATATATTTGGGTGTAAAAGATTCCAAGGGGGCAGATTTTGATAGTTCAGCAATTTTATATAGAGATGCCAATATTTTGAATGTGCCAAACATTAAATTTTCAGTTTGTCTTTAAACGGGCCAAAAACACTGACATCCAGCGATTGTAATTTGTGTGACTTGTATGGTGATCAAGAAAGATAGATAATCCCATTGTCACGATAGTAGTTAACAGCTTCAATAGAAATATGTGACTCGTGATTATCACAAATAATTAGAATTTGTTATCTTTAGTGTATGAAGTTTGAAGATGAATGTGTTGATGAAGAACTTGAATATACAATTCAGCTGTCATCTAGCCGCTCCTATTTTCCAAACCAAGACTGCCTTCGGGTGTGCCATTTAGATTTAAACCCATTTTAATCACCTTGCGTTTGCTGTTACTATTTCATCAAATATTACTAATTCCCCATATTAAGCTGAAACAATTTGTTCTATTGCCTATGCGTCTTTTCAGCCAAAACTATAGGCGTTGGTGTGAATTTAAATGCAAAGCTTCTTGCTGCACTTGTATTTTCAGGCTTTCTGATTTCTGTTCCTAAATCCTGCCGCCCAATCTTTTCCGACACGTTTATGTTTTTTTCATGATAAGCCAATGTCAAAAGTTGTTGCTAGGATAACCCATAATGCATCTTACTACAAGTCAGCAAATATTCAGAAAAGACTTTCTCTAGCTGAGCTGTGACCCTTCAGTCTTCCTAGAAGCTTTTCCAAACTTTTCAATATGATGTTGCTGAGTTCCAGGTTTGATACCATACTTGTCAGCGGCTTTTCGTATAGATAATACTTTCGAAGTAACTTCAGATACAGCGCTCTTGATCTTCTCTTTATCTATATTACATCTATCAGTCTTTGGCTTATACGTCCGCACCATTTTTTAATGGTAATAAAATAATTGGGGTACCTTAATTAATAGTTAATACTTCAAAGTACCACAAAATAATATTTTCAAAAAGTAAATTGTACTATTGAAACTAATTTATTTAAAAAAAAACACGAAATCCTTCATACTTGATGCCCTAACTTACCTTTGGTATATATTAATCATTACAAGATGGCACAAGACACTTTATTAGACACACGCATTTATAGGCACGTTTTAGAGATGTCACAAATCGAATCGATTTAGTCTTGATTGTGCCCCACCTCCCCCTATAGACAGTATTGCCAATAATTGGGTACTTTACCTTATATGTATTCTATAGAACTAATTCTATAGATTAATTATAAAATTAAATTCTTACTTAACACGTTATACGGTGCTTTATAATCAAAAAAAAATTAATCTAAATAGAGAAATAAAAGGTGTTATTTCTATTAATTGACTCTACAAGTCATTAAAATATAAATAATTTATTATCAGCAGTGATAAAAGTCCTATTTATTGTTTGAAAGTTAAACACCTTGTGTCAAGTACGGTTGTCGAATTCATGTTATTTATTTTATAACAAAAAAAAAATTTTATGCCAACAAATAAATTTTTTATAACTTCAAAAACATTCTTTATTTAACCTTTATCTTAAATATTCCTTTTATTCGCAAACTTAGCCGCAAAGAATACAGGTAACTATAATACAAACAAAGATTATTCAAAAATAAACTAAAACGTGTTCATTTGAGAAAGTTCTTTCAGAACGTTCAAATCTCGCATTAACATTTGAGTGGTTTGTCGAACTTTTGGGTCGAAATCGATGTCGTTTTCGTCCATATCCAAAAACGTGTCCAATTTGTCAATTTGGTCTTCAAATTCCATTAATCTCTCTTCAACCAAGGATTGACTGTGTGAGATATGTTCCAATAAGTTTAATCGACAATCAGCTGAATCAATCGCCGCTTCTGGTTGTGGTATTCTTGGCGTTTGTAATTGTATATTCTCCAAATTGTTTCCCATAAAAGTGTTTAAATCTAATTTTGGGAATTCGGTTGATTCTGATGAGCTTTGACTGTCTTTATTTTTTAATAAAGTTAATAACATGGAATCATCCGGTTTTATGTTAGATGCTTCTTCTTCAGTTTTTTCAGGTAATGGGAGTTTCTCCCATGGTTTTGACCATAAATATAATTTCGGATGGTTTTTAGCTCTAAAAATAAAAAAATGTTACAAAATTTCTTTTTTTAACAATATTACAACATCTAACTTACTCAGCAATTTTAATTTTAACTTTCAAAGTATGTAAATAATCCTTTAATTCCAATAATCCCCCACTTAAATCATGAGTTTTCTTTAATTTTTCAAATCTCTCTTTCAATATTGATTCATCTTTACAATGAAAAGATCCAACTGGTAAAGTGCCATGTTTTAACCAATCTTGATCGTGAAAATATTTTTTTGAACTTCTCTGTCTAATGGGATTTTGGCAAATATAACAAATATATTTATCAGGAACTTGACTCTCTCTTTGTATGTTGTTGCAATAAGCGTGTTGCCAACATAAACATAATTCGCATTGAATCATCAAACCATCCTCTTCAGTAATCCCACAAGTACAATTTATAATTTCCTCTCGTTTCATTTGAACAATTTTTATTACTTCGCCGCCTTCAATGATAACGTTATTTATGGGGGGTTGGGTTGGGGGTAAATCGATTGCGGGATCTAAAACTTCTTGTTTAATTTCTTGTTTTATTTCAATTGATTCGGATGCGATTCGCTTTCTTTTTTGGTTGTGTTTATTTGAACTACTTTTTGGGGAATCGGTATCAATTTCTTCTTTAATTTTTAAGCTCGGTCTTTGAGTGCTTGAAATTAAAGCTTTCATATTGATATCATCCCGTTTTGGGATCGCTTCTGATTTAGTTAATAAATCTTTTAATTTTATATCAGGATACATGCTTGGAGGCAAACCAGATGGCAAAATCGGCGAAGTTGGTTCATCTTTTTTGTTACTATCCGATTTTGAACTTAATAACTTTATTATTTCAGAATGGCTCGCTTCTAAGACGGAATTTGGTTCTTTTTGAGTTATTTTTGGAGTTAGTTTTGAGGTTGATTTAGTATTTGTTGATAATCTTTGTTGTTTTTCTGGGCCTGGAGATCTGTCTAAAGATTCGCCAACCGTTCTTGCGTAGGCCAAATCGGCTACATTTGGCGTTGAATCTAAATACTTTGTGTATTCTGGATGATAATGTTTAACGTGCATTTGAGCTAAATTTTCGCGCCGAAAATTTTTCCCACACCCCTCTATGGGACATTTATAAGAATTATCAATTAGAGGGATTTTTAAACTGTTTAAATTATCTTGAGCGGCTGTAAAATTATGGTTAAAATTTGTAAATCAATTTGAAATAATTTGTCAAAGTCATAATAATTGATAACTTACGTTCTTCTTCAACGTTTGTAGTGGTCTCTGCGGGTTCTTGAACTACGACGGGTTCACTAGTTACGCGAGATGTTGTGGAGCGCCTGGATTCGTTTCTTGAACGTTTCGTTGGACGTCTTGAAATCGAAAAATCGAACATTTTTTCTTTTAGATTTAATTCGGGATGTTCTTCGATGTAATTTTTTATTTCGCTGCGAAGACGAAATCTTCGACCTTCAGGACTTAACAGAAAAAAAAAATAGATAATCATTTCAAAAATGTGTAAACCATGAAGTCATAATAAGGATTATTTACAAACATTAAATCAATTACTGCTGGTACCCACCCTGTTTAACCTGAGATATGAAAAACTGAAAAGTAATACTAAAACAGTCAGGCTCAATATCAACACGGAAAAAACAAGAGTATCAAAATAGCAATATCAATACCACAACAATGGACAACATAGAACTTTTTGCATACCTTGAGATGCAATTATTAAGACTGGGTGCATAAAAAGTTAGGAGACCCATTCTGGCCAATAAAGCACATTTCGCATTGACCACTACATTTCCAATAGTAGAGCCAGTGCAAAAAAATAATATATGGAGATCAAGATACAGCTATGAATTGTATCGTGTTTATAAGGACCCGTCATTCTTATCTGGAGTTCATCAGATTCCAGTGTTTATGATGGGTTGGTCATGTGATTAGAATGGAAGAAGAGAGAATACCTAAGCAAGTAATGGGTAGAAGGATGCAAGAAGTAAGACCGAGAGAGTGGACGAGAATGAGATGGAAGGTTGTCGTCGAACGGGACATTAAGAGATAATTGGGGGCAGAAACTTGAAGAGAGAGGTCAGAAACAGGGAAAATTGGAGGCAAAGATTGAGGGATTGTTCATTTATTAATACATTACAAGTTATACAAATCGAAACGACTCTATAATGTATTTAGAAGTACTACAATATGAAGGAGTTAGATCCAGCGGGTTTGAATTAATATCGAATATTAACACGTTAATCGCCACGTCAATCTGACACTAACAGATTCTATATGCGTGCCATGTCATACATGTATGTTCCACAGACTTGTAGAAAGCTACATCAATCACGGATGTTCGACGCCAAGTACAAAATGCCATAAATTGTTAAAAATGGATCCAAAAGATTCATTACAATCTTGAAGTCGAATAATTGCACGATTCTTATTTTCTCGCATGTACTAAATATATAAAAGAGACAATACTTGCTCTTTTATAATAATATATTTAGTACATGCGAGAAAATAAGAATTGCCCGACTGTATGGGGAAAAATAAATAAAATAGAGTTTTTTATATAATGGTATATTGTTATCAAAAAAAATCTTGTTTGCTGCCGAAACAATACGTTGAAACTTTTCTCCTTTCTCAACCTACTGTTTCATTTATTTGGGTATAATATCCAACATTCTTCTTATTCTCTTCGTAATTAATCTCTAAGTCCCATTTATCATACTCTTAATTTCTGCAATAATCCATTAAACTTTGCTTCAGAGGTAAAAATCTTGGTATTATCTTGGACAAAGGACTGACTTGGAAACCACACATTAGTTGCAAAACCAAAGAAGCAACGATTGTAACGACCCAGTGTCGAAGGGCAATTGGGAATTCTTGGGGATTAAATCCGAGGATTACAATGCGGATCTACACTTGTGAGTAGCTCACGGAGCCATAGTTTGGTACGCAGCACTAAAACGTGCATATAAGGCTAAATTGTTGCATCAATTGCAACGTGCTGCCCCTAGTTATTTTTATCAGGAAGGGGGCCGTGATGGCATTGCTTCGATTGCGATCAGTGGAAGCAGGCTGTAAAACTGGGAATAGTCCGGAGCGAGGTTGTTTGTAAACAACTTCTCCTTGAAGCTCGCACAGACTATATCACACCTTTCTTATGCAAGCCACACCCAGAGCAACCTAAGCTTGGGCAAAACGCAGACCATCTACACTGATGGATCTTGGAGGCTCTGGAGCTGTAATTTTTTCGCGCGATCTCCAGCTGCACCTTTCCATTTCTCTAGGGTCGCACTGCACGGCTGCTCAAGCCGAAATAACTGCTATAAAAATAACAGCCAATGTGATCATCGACTCCAAAAAAAAGTCGGCAGAAACTTTGTAATCTGCAGTGATAGCAAACAGACTATGCTGGCGGTTGGTAGGCATCGAACTACATGATCGTTAGTGAAGTCCTGTCGGCAATCACTTTAAGAGGCAAACGTATATAACAACGTCACGATAAAGTGGCGAAAAGGACATAGATGAGACAGCAGTAGATGCCTTTGCAACGAAAACTCTGCTCTATCCTGACCGGAAGAGATCTACTCTGTTCCTGAGAAAATCATATAGTCACCGTCAGTCGGTCACCGGACACTGTAGGTTACGTAAGTACATGTGCTACATGAAGCTGGCGAATACATCCCTCTGTAGAGGATGTGAAATAGAAGACGAGACGGTAAGTCATATTGTTTGTGACTGTCCCAATCCCGCGTACTTAAGGAAATCCACTTTTGGCGTACCTTAGCCCTAAATTTCAGATATAAGGAACATACCTTTCTATTCTATATTAACGTTCATTAAAACATTGGGCTGATTTTCTGACCCTTGAATCAATTGTTAATTGTGGGGATGTACAAAGGGCCCGTTGGGGCCTAAGTGGCACACTAGGTTAATATCGATATGATATGTGAGCATTTTTCAAAAAACCCTAATTATTTCCCAAACTATTAATGTTAGGTATAGGACATATGGGATATAAAAGATGTAAAATGAGACGTCGAAGACGACTAAATAATAAAATATGGGGGGTGCCATTTAAAAAAATTAAGTCATAGTACTTCCAAATTTCGAAAAGTTAACGTGTCATAGTAAAGCGATCTAGTCACCCGTTCTCGGCACCAAAACATACTCCATCATGTTGCTTAAGCACGTTCTGAATCCTAAATTGATATCTCAAAAATCTAGTGTTCTCTGATTTTTTGAACAAATGCCTACTAGAGCAGATTTTTCTAGAAAAATTCGAATAACTCGAGAAAGGCTGAATCAAATTGTAAAAATTAAAGTTATTCATAAGCCTTGAAAACGGATAAATCCAAACTTGTCAAAATATACAGGGTTTTCAATTTAAAAAAATAAACTAGGTGGCGACTTCCGGTATAACCGGAAATGCTAGAAATCTGAAAATATTTTAGTCGAAGAGAATTGAATTCTCAAATTTTTATTTTGGCCAGATCCCCAGAAACGTCTCATGACCGGTCTCGCTGAGACACCTGTATAATATAAAATTAAAAGAATATTCCAACAGAAATTATGGGCTAAAACTCATATGTATAACTCATTCTAAAGTAATTGAAGAATTTCATAGGGTTGGGTTTTTGCCTATTTTTGCAACGCCTGGTTTTGCATATTGAAATTTAAGACACAGCATATAACTAGTCGATAGTTGTGGCAAGCACAAATTCCATGGACACTTTTTAGTGGAACAATTTTTGAGTTAAAAAATAAAATGAAAAAACTTCTTAACTTGCTATATTTAATAAATTTTAAGTCAAACTAGTTTCGGGGTTATTGACAATGTCAATAGAAGACTAATATTGTAAACTGAAGATCATCAAAAAGGCAATTGAATGCATGTATAAAGCTGAAGGCGATATAATGCGATATAATCAGTCTCGTTTCTTCACGTCTCTTTAAAGGTTCAACATGGTTTTTGATTATTTTTCAACAAGCGTTTAAAATAACCTGCTTTTTTGCTGTCGCCATTTTAATCATTTTGCTGTACACGTTTAACACCGCATTATATCGCCTTCAACTTTATACATGCATTCAATTGTCTTTTTGATGATCTTCAGTTTACAATATTAGTCTTCTATTGACATTGTCACTGAGGATGGGGCTAGCCCCGAAACTAGTTTGACTTCAAATTTATTAAATATAGCAAGTTAAGAAGTTTTTTCGTTTTATTTTTTAAATAATTCACTTGCAACATGGATCTACACTCTAAATTTTTGAGTTGGTCAACGATAATATGAAATAACATGGATGCTAGTGCGCGCCTTAATCTCACTGCAATTTAGAACAGTTCAACATTGTACACAATACTAACGATAGAATCGTTTCCTGACCTATGCCTACATTGTGATAGGTATCAATCAAAGCAGTGACTTATCAGCTTATTTTAGCACTTTCCATCAACTCTCCTCCATAAAGTCGATATTGGGCGTCTGCTTGTATCTTTTACATTGGCTGTCTGTGCCACGTCTTGTCATTGTGTTTCACTATATATTCATAGAATTGATGGAGTTAAGTATACATGCAAAACAATTACGTTATTTGAATAATATATTTTTATTAATGCATCCATTGTGTCGCTATTTATCAATAAGCCATTAATTAAATGTTTACAGTAACTGTAAATTCCTTATAAGTATTATCATGTCTCATTATATTATTAGCAATTTGAGCAATCCTCAATATACTTATATTGAACGCTTAAAAAATATAGAAACATTTTCCGCTACACTTGTCGCACTAATTATCGTCTTGTAATTATGCGCTGAGGTCCACAGTGCAGACATAATTAATAATTTTATTCTATTTCGCAAAGTGTACTGTGTAATGTCTTTATTCACTACTTTATGATAACGTTTGAGTTACAGTTTAAAATTTCTCAAATTTCTAAAAATCGGTTATTTAATTGAGAGGGTCTCGCGGCAACATATCCTCTAGATGGCATACAATGTGTCATAAATTCTCCAATTGAAGCTATATCAATTATCAATAACGTTGTTGCATTAACCATACTATTCTAGATGTTCTTAACAAAGCCATTTATGATCCTCTCTTAACTTCCCATCATTTTCACTAACATTACTTTCAAAGTCAGTAAATTATTTTATTGCCAAAGAAACAGCATAAAGAAAATCAGTAAATTTAGTAAATGAATAAGTCCTTTGATCAATAGTAATCGAGTTATCCATCCATGTATGAGTATAGCATTCTTGACATTTCCATGTGGCCTTAATATATCGTTCGTTGATAGTCAAACCCATAAAAATAGCATGAAAGTATAAAACGTAACTTCCCAAAAGTATTTAATTTCATGTGTTAAATTAAAAAAAAATTCAATCAGGATGCACCTTATAACGGCTGTTTTTTAAGCCCGATAGAACTTTAAATTGAAAAAAGTAACACAAAAATTAAATGATTTTGGGCATATGGGCCCAATCTTGACGAAGCGCATTCTGGAAGTCCAATTTTGGGCCACTTTTTCGAGCATTGCTGGCCGTATGTCACGAATAACACGAACAATGTTGGTCTCCAAGGTGTCAATTGTTACTGGTTTATCAGCATAAACCAAGGAAATAATCGAGAAGTGTCAAATCGCACCACCTTGGAGGCTAATTGGCATATCCATTTCTCGAAATCAACTTATCGCCAAATTTTGATTTCAATAAGCAGATCAGGTGAGATCAGGTCAGATCATGATGAGGTAACGATCTCCATTGACCGTAACGCGAGCTCAGACTTTATTTTTGAAGAAATAAGGTCCAATGATGCCACCAGCGTGCAAACCACACCAAACGGTGCATTTTTCTGGATGTAATGGAGTCTGTAGGGTCTGTTGTGGATTGGTTTCACTCCATATGCGGCCCGTTAAGCCAAAAATGAGCCTCATCGCTGAACACAATTTTGCGATAAAACATCGAATCAGTTTTCAACTGCTCTAGAGTCCAATCGGCGAAAGAACGACGCATATGATGGTCTCGTGGTTT